GAAACGCGAGGCGGAGGGCCTCGGTGGAGGAGGGTGCTGAAGGGGCTTTGGGCTGCCTTACGGCACTGTTTGTTCCTTTATTACCCCAACCATAAATGCTTTTCCCCCCATAATCTGTCCCTACATGTTACACTGTAGCAGTTCTAAAAATAAATGGTTGCTACAGCTTTTTGCACTTCTTGAACAATTACATAAATGCATACAGTATACACAACATTTCTAGGATTTTAGGCTGTTGGTATCTTAAAACACATGGTAAAAAATGTAAATGCTCCACAGTTTGCCAATAAGTTTGCCTGGTTTCCAAGAAAAGCACCGTAACAGGAGGCCGGACCCCAGGACGGCGCAGCCCCTCGGCCGCTGCGTTTCCATCGCCTGCATCTGCTCCGCTGGAGCCCCCACACCGACAGCGCTCTCCGATTTAGCCCACGATTCTGATTTTCATAAACACAAATCACTGCGCGAGCAGCTGAGCTACTCTAGCTGAGGAGACGCGTCTCGCTGGCAGGTGCCGAAGCTGAGGACGCCCTGAAAGTGTCCGTCCACAGGGGACATTCACAGAGCCCCTCTCTCTGACCTGCTGTTTGATTTCTTCCGCCTTTCTGTATCTTAATGTTTTTGAGACCCACAGCTCTCTGCCATATGTCACTGAAACTGGCTGACCTGTCCAGACATGGCGGCGCAGACAGAATAAACACCCCTTCTTTGGGAAATAAAGAGGCACAAACGAGAAGGGCTGCGCAGAGGTAGGCTGGCAGGCCCCCGGTGAAGCCCCATGGTGCAGCACGTACAGGGACGTCCTGCACCCTTCCCTCCGAGGGGAAATGCCAGTTACTCACGTCCCTCGTGCAAGAGCTGCTGCTGAATTCTGACTACCTATCTCATACGCTATAGTCAAAGGGATGCTTAATTATTTTCCTACAAATAGAGGAGATGCTGGTGCCGTATGTCCAGCAGCTCAGGAGAGGTCCGGACGGTCACATTTCTCAAGGCAGAAACTCGCTGTTTGCAATGACACTTGTTAACCTGCATTCTCACTACATTTACCAGTAAGGACATTTAATGTCCCGTTTTCTACTAACTTGTCCTGAAAAGAGAAGAATTATGTGAGTTTTCATTTGTGTGGTCCCATCAATTTGATAAAAATACCTCTGCTGTGTTTTTCAGCAGTGATAATTCGTCTTTGCTACAGTTAAACACATTAATATGTACATCTGTGCTGGAGTAAAGTTAGAGAAAATTTTTGAAAAAGGGGCCCCTTTGCAGCAGCCTTTGAGATTAACATTCAGTAACCAGCAATTGTTTCTTTTAAAAAACAATCATTCACCTTAGGCACCCGAAACCATTGCTTGCTATGCTAAAGGTAAGGTGATATGTTTTATTTTCACAAATTTAAAATATCTGATGTAACTCTGAAGACTGAAGTGGAAAAAAGGCCTTCTATTTTCTTTCCCTCAGGAACAGAGTTATGCTGAGAATGTGCGAGCAAATAATAGCCTAATTCAAAACTTCAGCCCAGATGTCTTCAGAATCATACTATCACTCAAATTAGTTAAAGCATAAACAAACATTTGTGACTGACGTAACTACTTCAAGTAGGCTGATGCCTCAGTCAGCGTTACTCATTTTGGAACAGACTGAGAGAAAGCAGAATCAAAATGAAGAAGTTAATGGTGTTTGTCTCCTTTTTGGTCCTGATGACCACTTTTACAGGTAGGAGTTTATATAAAACAAACCTGCGTATGTGTATAGAGCTGCAGAGCATATTATAATAGTATCCATTCGTCAACCTTTTGTTTTAGTACCTTCATATTTCATTTTTAATACTTAAATATTTTTATATTGTAGGCTTTCCATGATCTGATTTTTAACAATCATGCTATTGTATTTGATAGTTTACTCTCTGCATTACCATGCTGTAGTAATTTATTGTAAAACCAAAAAGTTTAATTTTACTAGCTTACTATTTGAATATTATCTTACCAAGGTCCTGCAAGCTGAATGTTCAGTGCAATCTCTCCTTTGCAACAAAAGTCTAACTCATTACTTTGAAAAATAATCCTAAATATAAAGCAACACAGAAAAGAACAAAGAATTGGCAGAGTTACTAATGTCAGTGGTTAGATGGTGCCTTTATATTTTCTCATTTTAGAGAGTAACATAAGTATGTAGGGTTTGCTTCATACTGGTAGAACTATAGAAAGCACAAGTATAAAAATGGTTTAAAATTCCACTCTCATCTCCTGGAATGCAATATCCCCTGGGAAGGGGCTGTAATGAAAGAACACTTTGTATATAGACAAATATCAGGTTTGAAGACATTGCATTTTACATCTGACAGATAAAATATTAACTTTTTGGTAATTTCAGAACTAATTTCTGCTTTTCTGTCTTCAGACACTTCACCAATTTTGACTGAAAAAGATGCCAAACAGATTCTGAGAACTCGTCGTGAAGACAGACCAAGAAAAGCTGGTTTCCCTGATGAGCCAATGAGGGTGATTTATGATACTTATTTTTAAATTACATTAACTAAAAAAAAAACCAACACCAAAACCCCCAAAACATTTCTGCTAAGTATTAAATTTCTATACATTTAATTCCAAGCAATGTGTTATGAATATCATGCTTTTAAGCAGCTGAGGTCTTCCATGAAATATTAAAAAAACCCTTTAAGTTCTTTCAATTACTGTTAAGTAGCATTCTGTAAGTGCTGAATATTGCTCAGGAAATGTATGCTTGCAGAATGTGGAAATTATTTATCACGGTTCAAAAATGCCGATTAAATTATTGAGAAGAAAGTGGCTTTTCATTTATAGAAATGTGGATTTCATCAGGTTGTTCCTGAAAAACTAAATAACAGGAAATGTCTTCTGCTTACAGTACATTCTGCACTCAAGGCAGAAAGGAGATGTAGGTGTCAGTGGTCAGTGTGGAGATTGAGGTAGTTCTGAACAAGCTTCTAAAATCACTTACTTTTCATGCACTTCTTTATGAATGCTACAGATAGCATGGTTTGTTATGATACTGTAGAAGTTTTTAGTTGCTAGCTTAATGCAACAGCATTGGTTTTACATGCAATATTTACATTTATTTATTTATAAACCATATTACAACAAAAGAAAAAGTAGAAGAATTAAGAAGCCTTCTGTTTTACTTGCTTAAACAAGATGTAACATATAATTCTGCACTTCTCAAGAGGTACTTAAGGTATTTTAAAATTACTGCCTGTTTCTTTCCAAAGTAAATAAACTGTGCTAAAATTACGTGGTTCTGAAGAGACAAACCCCACAAAAGCTAGAAAGCACACAATAGATTGTGCACGTATGACGAATACAAGGGGCTGAGTTCAGCAAGGTGCTGAACACTTCTGAACTCTGTAGGACATGAGGAGTGCTACGTACCTTGCAGGATTGAGCTCAGTGTGTGCCACGCTCATGGAGACAGATTGTGGTTTTCCCTTTCCAATGATTATTGTATACCAGCCAAAAAGAATCCACCTGGCCGTACACCGCTCCCGATGTACACACTTCGCCAAGCGTGACGGCCACAACAGATCAAAGCTGTCACAAGGATATTGCGCCACGCTTACTAACAATATAGTACAATGATGACTGTACAGCAGAGCCAAAAACCAGAAGGTGTGGGCTTCACTGCTGCCCACAACATTCAGGATGAGCCTTGTAGTTTTTGCAAATTAGCAAGAATACAGCTCTCATCTATGCTTACGCTTAGTATACCACCACAGTTATATAACACGTTATATCGTAAATATAACCTATATTAAATACAACATAAATAAAACAGTAGAGAATTTGGATTGAGTTAAATCTTGTACTGCAAGCTACATGCATACACATGATGCTTTTAGTCATATGTTTTAGTTTTAGGACCAGGGAGTTGGACTCAATAATCCTTATGGGTCCCTTCCAACTCGAGATATTCTATGACTGTGATTCTAGGTGGGGAGCAGAGGGAGCTACCACTAGAGAGGTGTTTGATTACTGACCTCTGCTGCTCTGTCCTTGCCACTTTCCATCCTACTACAATTAGTAGTAAACACTTGTTGAGAAATTCCAACCGTTTTGTTTTGTTTTGTTTTGTTTTTCTATACAGCAATGCTGGCTTTCTGTAAGAAAACACAAACATAAGTTTTTCTCACTAAATGTCAAGGTTTTCAGTAGAAAAGGCAATATTTCTGATAAAAAAACTATCCCCCCCCCAGCCCCCGGCTGTGTGGAACATGGAGATTTTCCCTTGTGAATGAAGGTGCATGGCTGCTGTGCCCTTGTGCACAGTTCTACCACTGGCTCAAG